TATGTATATATATAAATGTCAACCTTGAAAAGAAGGCACTCAACGCTTTGAGAGTTCTCATTATCGATACGTTAAAAAACAGCATGAGGGTAAAATGCAGCAGAAAAAAAAATCATCTCTTTTGGCCCATCCTATATATATATGATCTTTGGTATTGTATAAATTTTATTTGCGTATACGTTCTTTAATCCAATCCGCTACCGCCTTCAAAACGCTATTAAAAAATGTATAAAATAGAGCTTTACATATTTAATATGCAAATTTCTGCTTCGTCCTTAATTTCGCTCCTGCTTATCTCGTTCCCAATGTTTAAAATAATGATAATAATAATAAAGGTCGCTTGTATATGGGACCAACTATTTACCGCACCTTTTTAGTAACTTCGGGTGTTGTAAATCGGTCGCGCCACAGTGTCGCTTTTCGCATCCAAGATCGTAAGGTTTACCGAAAAATGTGAGTGCGCAATCTCTTCATAACTACGTTACGGCCATTGGACTGTTGTTTCCTGCTACGGTCTTCAGGTATCGACATACATTTTTGAAATTACTAGAAGAAAGGGAACTCATCCGACTTACTATAAACCCATCTAATCTTTGTCGCTATCAAAAAGAGGTTCTAGATTTTCTCTCCATGTAGAAAAAAGAAATAGCTAGTAAGATCTCTGAAGCCGTAGCATTTCAAGTAAATTACAATCGTCAGAAATAGATAGAAAAAATCTAGTGTGTACTCCCTGCATATATGAACCCCATTAGCCGAGATGGGATTGAGAAGTGACCATATAGTGCGAAAGCAAAGATAATAGAAACGTACCATTTAAAGAGACATTTACCAAACTATAAGCATTTCTTTGAGCGCTTGAACCTATTTCGAACCTGTCTGCAAACCCTTAAAGCGATATTTTCTGTTTTCAAATTTAGCTAGCTAGCTGCTTCCAATTACTTTACTAGTAGTCACTACGTCCGTTGCACGATAAACGTCCAGTAGAAGGTTAAAGCTCATCGAGCTCACCCACGTAGAAACTCTTTCAAAGGCACAAGCGGTTAGCAGGCACTTTTTTAGGCGCAAGCCGGCTGAAGTCAGCCAAGCTTCTGCTTTGTATCTGGTAAGACGCCTTCTTTCAATGCTATAGGCCAATCGCCTGCATGTTCCTTACATGCAGCCACTTGTCCTATAGAGCAGATCGAGGTTTGCGTGGCTGTTTTCAAAACGATAAAATCTACGAGGAATTACTCCTCGAGTTTAACGGTATCACTAAATGAACAAAAACAATAATCCTCCTCGCTGAGAAATAAACACATCAATTGAGTATCATTGTTAGAAGTAGCAAACGAAAACACACCATCTGGTGCAAATAAAATACAGCAATATTTATTATCATCGTTATTGTTATCTTCGCGATCACCATTATAATCATCGTTATCGTCAATCACGATAATTATCTGTAATTCTTCATCATAATGATAATGGTAATCGTTCTCTCGTCGTTTTTTCCCATAGCATTTTGTAGGAGCCATCTGGTGTGTATTTAGTTCCCATTATCTAGTCTCTGAGTATGTTTGTGTGTGTGTGTGTGTGTGTGTGTGTGTGTATGTGTATTGTCGTGTATCTGTGTACGGTTGCGCGTGCCTTTTGGCTAGGCTTGATGATTTGATCGTTGTTTTTTGCGGGAGTTTTTCTCTCTTAAGTAAAACAGTCCTATAGTTTGACCTAACTTATTTCGCAGCGGCGTACCAAGATGACAAGCAACATATGATTTAACTTTCTATTATGATCTGTTCTACTGTATTTTGTCCGTCTAATTTTTTTTTGATCAAGTTCTTTTGTACACTATATTTCAATCAATAATATATTGGTGGTAAATATGTACATTTGTTACATAACGATTGTAATTTGGCGTGAGTTAATGCTAATAGTTTTTTTTTTTTTACCTTACTTTCCCTCAAACTCTAGATGCTATTCAATGGTGACTCGTTGCGTAATTTATCTATATTTCGTTGTTGCCTGTTCGACGCTCGGAATAAACCATCCCTAACTGAAGGCCGGACACCATCCTTGTATTATTCGCTGTTTACTTGTACCTGCCCGTCCCTTGTTCAATCCAATCTTTTCTCGCAGTCTACATTATCTTCCTACGAAGAACGACGCTTCATCTGTACCAGCACGACGCCACAAGTCTCGACGATCATCTATTATCCTTCTAGTGAGTCGCATACATGTATCTACCACCATTCTCGCGTATCGTTTCGCCATTATCCTAGCGTACGCTACCAAACATGCCTCTGTTCACGCTAATTGAAATTTTTTTCCCAATTTTGCTGTGGCTTTCTGTTGTCGTCTCATATCCATTTCACCGTTGACACATCGTTAGCCATGCCAATTGCGTACCAATAGCCGTTCTAGTTATCTAATAGTATATCATAATTATCTGTCCGCATTCAATAGCCAGCTATCCAGTACTTTCTAGCGTGACCAATTATGTCCTGTTGAGGCGCGGGCACCTTCCGCCAGCGTACAGGCAAGTGGACGAAAACTAATGCTGTGAACACGTTACATTATTATTATTATTTACGAAGTGTTTGGCATCTTTGTGTGAATTTGCATACTCGTATTCATATACTAATGGTGAATTGGTTCGCCCAAAGCACAGCTGGGGCAATGGCGACAATGGGACGATTGTTCGAATTTTCCGCGTACATCCAGAGGTCGTCAGGCCTCAAAAGCTTTCTGAAAGCGATTAAACAACGTCATTCTTGCCCGTCTCTTTCGTTATCGATCACCGAGTGCATCTGTATGTGTGTGTTTGTGTGTATCGGTGTCTCTCTTTATGCGAACGCATGTTTGCTCGACTGTGTTTACAACATAAGTTGAGACATTTCGAAAGCAGCACTAGTTATTGTTGCACAGCCAATTTCGGTGATAAACAGAGTGTCCTAATTATAGACAGTTCGACGTGGGACGACCATTCCTCGTCTTCTCAGCGATATCGAGAGTTAAATTTCTTCCTTTTTCTTTTTTCTAGACTTTCACAATCTATATACACAATACCTGTCAGTACCTAAGATGCGATGGCTGATTTCTTAAGCAGGTTCTGTGGCTCCCCTTAATTCTGTTTGCTTCTCACTGCGACCTTCGTCATATCGAACGAACAAACAAATGACGCTTAAAGACGCGGAAGTGTCGTCTCGTTCAAGTTCGATTTCCCCTATATCCCGTTAGCCATACGTTGTATATAAATACTCCTCTTGCATGCTGTTGTACGGGAAATTTACAACTGCTGTGTGTAATTTTGTGTATCTGTGCTTTTTATCTCTGTCTAGTTGTTTTCATATCTAGCCATGCAGTTACATTTGTTAACCTAACCTCACCAGTGACCGCATAGTTGCGTACGTTTTCTACTTTACCTGTTTCTTTATTTGCCCGTAGCTGGGTGGTAATCTAGCGGCAACATCTGTCTACATGAGTGATTTCTTTGTCGGTTTCCGTATATTTTTGCGAACTTTCGTATATCCTTTTTTTTTTTTTAGTATTGTCGTAATATCGACTATCTGATGTTGTCAGTATATCCGCCGTTACAGAGCCGAAATATGGCCAACAACAGATCCGCTACATGGCGATCTAACAACACTTTGATCATCGTAGCCTCACGTATTTAATTCTATTTATATTAGAATTACCCTTATAGACGATTGAGTCCTGCTCGATGATTGTTAACGTTTTCCTAGTATTTCCTTTTTCAAATCGGCCAAACAGACAATGATGTTAGTTTACGGCCTACACACATTTCAAACTTGCGCAGCCCATATCAACATAGCTAAGAATCTCATCTGTCTTTATATCGCGCGCGAACATTCAACGGATTTATCCTCTAATTATCTATGGTGATTCTCCCCCCCTCCCCTCCCCTCCCGCCATATCTCTCTCTCTCTCTCTCTCACACACACAAACGCTTTCGCTCTCTCTCTCGCTTGGAATTGACACAGTTGTGTACATAAAACATGTTATTATAGATTGTTTATGTTGGTCATATAAAGCGATGAGGCATCAATTATCTTTATGGAATACGGCTCGTGTCATGTTTACCATCTTCTGAACACCCCCAGAGACGCATGTGTCGTTCTGAAGGATTGGTAGACTACAATCAGTCATACTCACACTGATGAATACTGTATAGAGAAGTAACTGGGCATTATTGTTGCCTAGAAGTCTAGTAATAATCAAAGTTTGTCTAAACAAGCTCTTTGTAAATCTCGAGCCATACAAGTTTATAGACACGGGTCTCCTCTATGATGTTTGTAGGTGTGCGACGGTGTATGTTTATATATACCTATATATATATATATATATATATATGTAGCTCATTATGTATATCATCGCGCGACTAATTGTGAATGAGGTTTCCTGACGTAACCGATTCCACGCAATCCTTTGTCCATACCGCCTTTCCGGCTTTCCCACGTGAACTATTTGTTTCCTATGTGACATGTGACGCGTGCTGTTATCAGTCGCAAAGGTGATTTTGTTCTTTTTTTTCTTTTGTATTGTTGTCTCATCATCGTATCTTTTTTTTTTGCTCCCTATTTGAAATCCTTTTATTTAGTAAATCGTCTGTGAAAAACTCGCTGCGTTTTAGATGATAAAACAATGTCTGTAGTAATACATCAACGCTTCAACATGTGTCCCGTTGAATCTTCATTCTGTATCCTGTTGCGGAAAGGCCAAACGACACGGGTACGACTGTGCAGCGCACGTTGAGGACCCTTTATATTCGTTACTTCATGCGATGTACGAGCCACCCTTCAGCGACATCGTTCAGTGGCTGCTACCTCCCCATCCTCAATTCGCTACATCGTTAGTCACTACTAATGTTTGACAATCCATTGTTATTATCGTCATTCGGCTATATGTGTAGTCATAATGCTACTTATAAGTTAGATTATAAATCTTAGTAAGTCTCGTTATCGCCCCACGAAATCGCGCGTACCCTTTTTTTTTTTTACTAGACATCGCATCAAGTACTGTCATGTATGCGACTACATATAGGCATTTTCCTTTGTCTTATGTTTTCCGCTAGAATGCACCCCCTTGTACGTAGAAAATACGTTACCCCAATCAAAATCGCTTGATCTGCTCTGACCCAGGTTAAACATTGTTCCGCTATTTCCGTCACTTGAATATATTACCGCATGAATGATGATAAATGTCAAACGAGCAAACAAACTATTCGGCCTAACGTTTTCGGTCTAAAAGGCTTGCCCGAATAGATTGATATACTGCTGTTAGGTGATCGTTGCAAAGTAAGTAACTTATTTCAATGTCTTTTTTGTATTCATTGTATCGGTCAGATTCCCTGCTCAGCTCTATCGCAACAATTCAAGCACCGAGGCCATTAACAGCAGTAAATTGATGATGTCTGATGGCGCTCGGAAATATTTGGAGTCCCCGCGCTTTTTGACTCGACTCGCGCATGTGCACATCTTGCATGGTGTGAAGCGTTATCTGATTCCACCACGGCTGTGGGGCAAACCTCTCGTACGGCTGACTTTCGGATCAAGGGAGTGTCAATCTAATAGGTGGGTGGGTGGTTGGGAGGGGTCAGGGGGGCAACTTTCTAAAAACACTGAACACAAGTTATGCACACAACACTAAGGGACTTCAAGAGTGCGTCTACAAAACACATACATGTTTATAACGAGCACTGATTAACTGAAATAAACAGAGAAGAAGAATTACGCCGTCTGTCGTATCAGTCTCGTGAACCCTTGAATCATCGGTGAAAGTTCGGCTAGCGGTCGATTTCGCGAAGAACGGTGTCTGTACTGACGTTGTGACGACCACGAAAGGCGTACCTTTTTGGCTGGCTAATAACAACCTCTGTGAGGTCCTTCGGACCACGATGAAGACTGCCGAGATGGCTATATCAATGCGGTCTGCAACGAAAACGCGAAACGGGTGCCGTTCAGGAAGGAAAACGTAAGACATAAAATTGAATGTGCAGTTGTAGAAGTAAGGCAAACTCACAAGAGCAGCAGAACATAAATCTCAAGAGAAAATAAAATCGACATTCGACGCAGTCACATGAGACACATTAACATGAACGTCTATTGGCAACAAACCGATGCATGGCGCTTATAGATATCTTAGCTATTTAATTGAGTAGAAGTAGTTTATAAATTAAATAAATATGTCGTGTCAAAAACTCAAGACATAGGCAAATCACAATAGAACATAATTATTCAGGCGGGATAAGATGAAGAGAAGAGGACAAGCGCGGTGTTGCATAACTAGAGAAGGACGTGAGGCGTGCCGACAGTTACGGGCAAAGTAATAGCGCTCTATTAGGTAGAGAATACTAAAAACTATACAAGGTATAGCTCAGCGCACTTCGTTATTAGCACTTTCCTAGTGCTTCGAAATAGAGAGTGAACAGGTGGCGCTGCGGTCGCCCTTCAATGAGGTTGATGTGAGGTAAAAGAGAGGAGACCGGAGCAGAAACACCCGGAAAGCGGACGAGAGTTAATTCGTTTTTACCTTCTACCATCATTATTACTAATATAACTACTACTGAATTTCTCTTCTACCGTCTCACATCCACTAAGTTCACTATGAATAAATTGTTGTACTGTTAGTTATGATCTATTTCGCTTTCCATCGTTAATTCTGCTCGACGGTACAAGCAAGTCTTGAAACTTTCGTTTGATCTAGCTTCATGATACGACCTGAATGGTCCTGGATAGCTGGTCGGTTTCGGGCATACCGCCGACACAAACCCACAGATGCGCCAATGCGACTCCATTCGTAAACACACGCAAATACACACAAGTTACAGTTCAAATGTTGTCTAAATATCTATCAACTTACTTTTCTGAAATGACTGCTTATCGATTTCAAGGATCTGTGTGTTATTTGTACGATTACTTTTTTCTTCGTTGTGCGTGCTAGTAAGGGCCTGCTTCGACGATACAACCGAAATCTCAATTTACGTTCACGGTCCTCCTTGAACGGCACCGCGTTCATGTATGTGTTAATTCGAACATTAAAATAAAAGCTGCGAATTCTATGGAGAATACGTCTTGGGCTTCGCATCCCTAATATCCGTTGTTGTGTGTCTCTTATATTAGTTTTTGTTATATTCCTCAAAGTTTACTGTAGGCTGATCTTGCAGAGCATGGTGGCTCTGGCCACCAAATGTCAGCCTAAGTGGAAATAATCAAATAAACTCAATATCAAATGCCTCCTGATGTATTATTGTCCTGAAGACTCCGGTTGCTGGTAACCAACGCAGGGCCTCGTCCCATACGGCATTAGAGAGCAATGAAGGTAAAAAATAAAGGATAGTCAGAAAAGCTGAGAGTAGACAGGTAGACAGAAGGGTATATGCGTGCCCAGATGTTATCAACGTCATCACCCAACCACGCAGTCATTGACACAATAGTATAAATAGGCAGTATCAGGCATCATCTGCTCGATTACGAGAAAATGACTCGAGATTATTAAGGCTGATCGATTTTTGTTTGATATCCGTATTCCTGCTGGCAGCTAGACAGTTACAGTGATTTTCTTGAGACGGTCGATTTCGACTTGCAGATTCATCCTCTGCTTCTTCTCCTCGTCCACCTCGTTCATGAGTTCGCGCACCATTTTCGAATAATGCGCCCTGGTCGCCTCCATTGTCTCCTGAAGCTGTTTCATCTGAAATGAACCGATAAATACAAAATGCAAATAGTACATTCACCCGTTCGACCAATGTACAGATAAGAATATGTTCTATGAAGTGCCCTAGATTCACGTACAGCAACCATGCATTGCATTTACCGAGAAGGGGTGTCTCCATGAGACATCAGTAAATTTATATTAGACGCTGACAGAGACGCCAGCCTTTCTGTACCGCTCTTGAACATAAACCAAATAATGGTGCAGGTTCTAACAATATTGAATTATGTACTGTCTAGACTAAAGGTTCCTTTGACATGATAGCTCTATAAGGACATTCGTTTTTGAAGAAATTGCCAAACGCACTGAACGTAACAGAGCAGATGCTAGACGCCCTCATGCACTATTTTTTTATAATAGGCGAACCTAGCAAGCAGAGGAGTAAACGGATTTTGTACCATCGATTTGTACTCGTCTGGGCGTGACTTTATCGCTTGAATACCGCACCACCACAATGCTATTCAGTATCAATGTTTAACCGTAAATTAATTACCTCTATATCCTTACGACTGCTAAAAATTGGTTTCGAAAATTACCTCACTCAACTAACTCGATCTGAACTTTTCTCGTAATACATGCCCCCTTAGACTGAAAGACCATTGTTACCTGCAAGTAGTACTACGATATACATATATATTGATAAGAAAGGCTGTATTTCTTTACCTGAATTACGATACTTGTATACTCGTCCCGGGACACGCAAGTCTCGCGCAGTTTTTTTACCTCGACGCGCAACTCCAAGACTTCCGCTTCCAACTTCTGCGCTATCTCGCTCGACAGAGTCGTCGAACAATTTCGAGCAGTAGAGTCTTCGTCCGTCCTGGCATCTATGTCTACAGCCAACGCACGATTAAGCACTAATTTAACACGGTATATTGATTTTTTAATATCCTTTAACACGGGTAAATCTCTCTAGATGTCTATAGAACTTCCATTTCGATAATACATTTCTCCTATAGATATACATCGTATATGTCATCAATAGAATCATAACAGCCTGCAAATGCTCATTGGTGTCCGTTGTGTGATAATAATTGGCGCTTACAATTGGATTGTACATCAAAGGGGCCTACTAGGAAGTACGATAGCATTGGTAATGCAAGAAGGTCCTTACCCGTAATAACTACTTATTCAGTGATAATACCGTGCGAAGTATAACAAAAACTTCTACTCACATATAGTAGCTAATTTTCTCAATGTTACTAACCATCTCTGCTGAGGCCAGCTAGCCTATGAGTAGTGATATTGGTGCTGCTAGCACTGCTGGTGCTACTCGTAGCCCCACTCGTCGTTGTTGACCCATTAGAGGGCTTACCAGCAAGGTTCACCACTTGCGATGGTCTGCCATTGGTGTCCATAAACTTCGACGATAGGTCCTTGATCGAGGTCCTTTTGCTACCGGCATCCGATTCGTGACCATTTAGTCCACTAATCGTTGAGTGGCCGTTGACACTATGATGTCCGAGATGAACCACCGTGCTAGCAGGCCCTCCCAACGAGTCTCCATTAGCCTCGATGACTGAAGTTGCTTCCTTGTGTCCAGGAGGAGAACCTGAGCGTAGGCATATTGTATATTCACAAGTCGACACAGAGCGACATCACATTGAACAAACGTTTTCAGTTACCTTCCACATTGCATCTACCTGCTATTTTCACCACACACACGTGAAACATGTGATCATTGTCAGTCACTGATTGTTCACGCAAATGATGACAAAGTTGCAGAGATTATTGCGCGCATAGCGGCTACAGAACTGAACTATGTGAGTCTTTCTATAGTGTAATATTACGACGTAGGAGGAACTGATACGTGGAATTCATCCTACTAAATGGAATACTTTCTGACGTAATGTCATCGTCTGCTGGCTTCAGAAAGGTCCCCATGATCGATGTCTATCATACGTCGAAACTCGTTCGACATTAGTTTCTAATAAATTGTAGTTTTACTACAATAATTAGGTGAACTAATGTGCCAACTGACCAATGTGTGATGGGGGTCTCCTTGCGGGCGGTCGTGCCCTATCAGCCGTGGGATGTTTGAGCCGTGCTTCACTGCTCTCTATGCTGTCGAGAGCGCTTGCATCGTCGGACGTTCCGCTGGCGGATGACGACGCCCCCGCTGCTCCTGATACCGTGGCCGACGTCAGGGGCGATTCTGAAGTTGGTTCATCATGTGGAGGGTAAGCAGGTGAAGAGCACGAGGGTTTGGTTAGTCGTCGGGCTAATCTGTGCCACAAAGCTTCCATTCTGTATTGGCACGATTGACAGTGTCATCAATCAATATACCTAACACCGTACAAGCCCTACGGATCAGCTCTGTGGGCATGGCATCCTCAGTAGACGCCGACCTAGGTTATGTTAGTCGAGCTAACTAAACTCTACTGGACTACGAATTATGCTGCATCTGTTATTTACCTATGCATTACGTGTCAGCGCACTACGTACGTGTTACTGTATGTGAGTAAATGTGTGGGATAAAATAGTGTAACATGGCGAACGATAAAGCGCTGTAGTGCGAAGTCAGTGGTGAGTACCTTGTATACCCTCATTGATACGTTTATTCCCCAGACGCAGGAATCGACGTTTCCAGTTTCGGGGACTTATACTGCCAGCGTTCATAGCAGCCGAGCTGGGACTGGTGCCAAATAACGAAGGAACGGTCTTCTGGGTTTGATGTAGTCGACGTTCAACCTGTATGTTATTATGTACAGTGAGGCGAGTTAAGGCGGCTAACACACGGCCCCAATAGTGTAACTAACGATTATATTATGCGAACGAGAATGACGCAAGTGGAATAGGCGACGACGGATAGCAACAGAGTACACTTACATGTCTCCATACACGCACTTCACAAACGCGCTCAGACTACGCACGGCAGTAGCAAAATGGCAGCACAAGTAGCGTCATATATGAAGACGGCGTACTTCTATAAAAATCAATCATAAAATATCTGAAGTAAGGTTACGCTCCCCGGAAGTATTACTTGGTGTTGCAAAGATACTAACATCAACATCCCACGTGGCAGAGTTACTTAATCTTCCCGAAAAGGAGCAATTAACCGCAAGCCGAAATACATCGGGCAACTAAGCGCACAGATCCTTCCATAGTTCCTTGGGTTTGGGGCCGATCGCACTCTCGTACACGCCAACGTAGGTCAACGGCGATTACCCAAAAAGCTTTTTCCTCACTGAATCTGCCCGCAATTAGCGCCTTGCGGTTAAATAACCCATTACAAGTAATAACACCATGTTCGATGGCTATCGCTCATACCCGTCGCTGTAGCACATCGGTAAATTGTCGTTTGCCTAACACGAGCGCTACTAGCCGACCGGAGTGACCAAACGGACTGGGTAAGTGGAATGGATAAAAGGAGTCAGAGAGAGAACAACAGGCTGACGGCAGTGACAGACGGACGGACGAACGAACGAACGAACGAACGACTCCTTGAGCCTTTCATGCGAGAGTGTGCTTAAGCTATAAATTCCGATAGGGAGAGACTCGCAAAATTACGCAGTACCGCACTAACGTTGCGAGTCAGCGTTCTGTATCTACGACGGCTGTTTGCAGGATGTGACGTCTCCAAATAAGTGCGGTGTGTATGTCTGTATCTGCGAAAGTATAGCTCTGCTGGGTACATACATATAAATAGATGCATGACTCATTCACATCAACTTATGCCTACTAGGGATATGGTAGTGGTCGTCAGGACACGTCAGGCGGATAATTGTTCCACATTTAAAGGCTGATGAAGGTGTCTAACTATGCATATTGATAGTTAGAGAGGTTTCGAAAAGATCAAAGATGACGAGAGTATCACGATTATTGCGGTACTGCTTCCGTGAAAAGCTTATCCCTAATAGATTGCTTACAGTAGAACGTAACTAGCTGACCTCAATATTATTGGCTTAACTATGACAGGGGCAACTACTTTGTAAACGAATATAATATAGCTATTACTGAAATCGTATTTCGAGTAAAAGTCCGAACTGTGTAGTTATATCCAGATAACCTGTGTAAGGCGACAGACGTCAGGACCGCAATGTAAACAGCGTTTAAAACAGCACATTTCTGTTAATTATTCTTTTAACTTTTGAAATATGCTTTATGCGGAAACTGTGAGCTGAATAAAAAAGACCTAAATAGAGGACTAACGAAATCAGACTTGCTTGTTTCGTATCGCTTTCATATATTTGGATTGATTGCCTAATAGCCAGGTCCCGAGAGGTCGTCATAATAACACATAACCCAAACGGAACTTCTGTCCTTAGTTTGTACCATAATAACTACAGAGATAGAAGAGAGAGTGTGTATACTGTGGGCGTTCTTGTCTAGTAATGTAGTTACCATGATGGGTTGAGTTTCCATTTTGGTTGCTGTTATTACTGCTGCTGGAGCCGCTGCTGAGGTTGGCCCTTTCGGCCGCCTGGGCCGCAAGGAGAGTGGGGAAGGCCCCATTTTGCCGGCGAATCTGCGAGGCCAATATAGGTTTGCCTAGCAAGCCCGGTACGGGTCCATCGTGCGGTCCGAACGGACTAACCACTGACACCGGTTTGTTGTCTTTTTCTCCTGCATGCAGCTCGCCTACAATAGTCAAAAGGGTCCATATAAAAGAATAAATTTGGATAAAAACTTTCTACTGATCGTGTTGGCCTATGCTGTAGAACGTTGAGTATGTTGAACATGGCTGAGTACGAAATAAAGGAAAAAATCAGTACACGAATAATAACATTTAGCCATTTCTATGTTATCGCAGAGAAGCCAAAGACGTACTCTGTATTTTACAGAGACTGCGTACATCGCAATGAGTTCTGTTAAACTTGAACGTATTATCGAGATTCCGGTTGACTCTGCACAAACAAAACATGTCAACAGTTAGCGACCATAGCGAAATGGTCAGCGGACTATTTCGCTGTAGTTACAGGCAGATTGAAATCGATTGTTACAACAACTCGCTAGGCAATGACGGCATTTGCCCGACCATCGGCCAGTATTAATAATCATGATTAAACGTTTCAGTAGTGGCACATTTGCCGACATTTTTTTCTCAGTGATAAGAGTACTTGTGGATGTAAGGTGCCGTATACCCGATCGACTGCGGTTTCTATAGCTGATTTGATGTTTCGTCACCAACTAAAATAACTGTAGAACCGAAATCAAACAACTAGATTTTCTATTTCTCGCAGCGCGGTGACCTCGCATAACATGCATCATGCGGAGTGTAGCGCAGCGCCTATCATATGTGGGTTTACCCTTGACTGCCGCGGCTGGCGTCACGGTATTCGATGACGATACTGTTGTTGTGCTGCTGGTCGAGCCACTCGTCTCCGTCGGTAGAGGAGGTAATGGCTGATTAAAGCCCATCAAGAGTTTGTCCCTAGGAAGGTCAGGCTTTAGAGCTTTGGCAGGTTTATCAGGTCGTTCAGGCCTGTTCTGTCCACCGGACGGTTGCGGACTGCAATGGCCATCATCACTAGTTCGTATCAGCTGTACGAAGTTGTCAGGAAAAACGCCGACACGGCCGTTGAGCTCACCCTTCCACCAGCCCCGATCTTCGACTTCCTTCGTGAGAATGGCGATTGTGTCGCCCTCTTTAATCGTCAACTCATCGTCGTTCTGTGCGTCATACGAATACAGAACCTAAAAATGTGCAGTAATAACAGAGATGGAAACGCGTGAATTGAACACTAGTCACTCAATCAGTGGATATTTTAAAGCCTATCAAAATTGTGAGGTTTCACTGTCCACGGTAAGGCAACCAAATCACTTACAATTTGTAATTAATTATCACGGCTTTAGTTCGATAGTGCAATTTCCACTTAGAAATTAAGAGCACAATCCGTGGGCAGACGATGGCGCCGAATAAGGAAGACAGATTGTATGTGTAACAATAAACATTATCGATAACCTATTAATAAAGTACGTAGATAAAATAAATTAGAAAATCAGGGTTATTCGTGTTTGTCTAGGTGCAAACACCTTGCATATACCTTGGCGAGTTCCCTGACCGGTTTCGGTGGCAACTTTGGAGCGTCTGGATCCGAAGGTAATTTAGAATTTTTCGGCGAATGCTTCGCAGACATTTTGTCGGCTGGTTCTTTGTCACGTCCTCCAAACAATGGCGTCTTCGATATCAGGCCTACCAAGCCATTTGCTGAAAAAGACCCAGAAGATGATAAACAGGTAGTGAGATACCGCTGAAGATATTACTGCATCGCTGCGTTTCTCAATACAGATCGCTATGTGATAACCAACATTGATGTAATATCCGTAATATAGATAAAAACTATACACAATGCAATACTGAGCAAGTGAAACGTCGAATAGCACGCAACTCAGGTGTTGAGTCGTGCTTTGAAAAAATCAAAACGGATACCAACTACAAGATCGCATAGGGGCGAAACGTTTATAGGTTAAGTGATTACGTACGCTGAAGGAGAGCTCAGGTGGTGATGGACAACAGAAATAGTAGTACCAGTATTAGAACTGGAAATGCTATACAGCAAAGGTTTACCTCGTTCATCATCAAAATTGAAATCTTCAGACCGCGATAGAAATATTCACATTCATTTCGCTGGTTGTATTGTTCGAAAAATAATTATCAAGCTTTGATAGTGGTACGCATCCGGGCGGTATATTCTTTTATTCAAAAATTATTGTACCACCGGACAACCGAATTTGTCATCCGAATTTCTTTGGCCAACAAAAGCAAGACCTCTGCTGCATACATGTGAAATGTAACTGCGGTATAATGCGCTCTCGAGTATTCTGGCAATATAGGGTAAGTCTATATATATATTAAGCATTTTGCCATATTTCCTAGATAGTGTAGCTAGCGTGCATCAGGTTTAGCACAACAAATACAATCACCTGCACAGACACTCTAAGGATGTTGTAAATTGCTTACGAGAACTAAAAAATGAGTTAAATCTATCGAGAACGATCTCCCCTTTGGAGGGCCTGTGATAAGGATCATATATGACAATGTGGAAAGAGTGAAACAATTCGTGTTTGTCAACCGCAAAATCTTCGTATGAGGGTTCGCAAAAAAGGGAGATTTCAGCCGGCTTTTGTCAGGCCATTTCGTCCAACCGTTTACGTGTCAGAAGGCTTACAACAAAAATTGTCCTGAAACGGCTGAATGTCCAGCCAGCGAACAACTGTGTCAGAAAAACCTCTTAGTTCTAGAAGAGCCAAACTTGCTTGGAAATTTCAATACATTTGAGCAAACGTAAGCGTATGGCTATGACGGGGAGACAAGGATGCAATTCTTCGAGTATCGGTTTAGAAACAAACCCTAACCAAAAAAAAAACGCAAGATCTAGGTCAAAAATAAGGTGCTTCTTACAATTTTTTTCGACCGTCGGGAATAGTTTTTGCGATTTTATGCTGTCTGCTCTATTGTCACCAGGGGATGCCAAGATGTTTTAAGAAGATTGCGCCAGTATGTTCGACGGGAGACACCAGAAATATGATGTAACAGATTGTGGGCGTTCCATCATGATAACGCACCGGAACATTTTTTTGTAAAAAGCTCAATGTGCGTACGTTCTCCAACTCCCGTATTCACCAGACCTAACCCCCTGGAACTTTTGTCTATATCCAAAACTAAAGAAATGTTTGAAGGGAAATATTTTGATAAGATAGAAGAAATAAACCAAAACCATCGATCGAGCTGAGAGTTGCCCAGACAATCAAATTTGAGAAACGTTTTGAGAGCTGGAAAGCTCGCACATTTATTTAAATATACGTTAAACACCTAGTTCAATTAGAACCTTGGCTTTCACAATCATAATAACCACAACGCACAGTATTGTCAAGGCACATCCCACCACAATTTCCGTCATCATTATGTGCTTATTTGCACTTCGTAGAAATGATGCTATGATAGGTAAAGGTTAGAGATAAGAAATCTTTCGAGTTCACACGCAATGGGCAGCAACGAAAGCGATCGTGCTAGTTTTGCTGTAGGGTGAGACGTGGAGTTCGTGATCTGCGACTTTGCGCTTCTAACGTACCGCATTTCCTCCATCTACGTTTTCCCGGTATTCCTCCTGACTGGATAACGAAGCACGAGCCAGCAGTGATACGTGTAGATTGCCCATTTGGAAGTGGGCGAAAGGCAGGTGAGAGCGGTGACAGACCGTGGTTGAGGCGCGAACCTGGGTCGATGCTCGCACCCAGCCAGAGGATAGCAATGTGAAGTCTCTCTCACCACACTGGAACCAATGGAGTTCGATAACTTTGGGGTAGCTGAACTCGCAAACATATAGCATTTTATGCACATCTATGCTCTAGAAGTCTCTCGAGATCTCAAGTATGATTGTTTCCACGTAGGATCGCAACGATGATAGGGATGAAAGTGCCGATGAGGAGATAAACAGGTAAGAGATATACTTGGCCACATAGTGAGAGAGAGATGAAACGGATAGCGTCCGCAAAACGTATGTGTAACAATTCGACGTAGGAAGCCGGGGACGGTTATTCATATTCGAAACTTAAGTTATATCATCTCGACCCCCCAAATATTGTCCGCGGTGACTTTGAGATTGTGAGATAATCGATTAGTTTCGGTGAAGGGGCGACTTCACTATGGGTCTAGAACAAGAGAGTCGACAGACAACTCAAAAAAGGGTATTTACAGAGATACTGTGACGACATTTAATGGAAAGAGTTTCTCCACATTAGAGTACTGTCTTTATCGTATTACTGATACAGATTCAGTAAATAACGCATAGGGGCAAAACAGTTTGACGTAAGCGGCATACGGCAGAAATATATTTTTTGCCAGCAAACTATTAGATGTTTAAATGCTTGTCGAGTTCAACACGCAACACAGATTTCGCAAGCCAATTTATACGAGTTTGTTTTTACCTATACATACAATAATGATACTACACGAGATCGGTTGTCTTCTACTGAAAGGTTACTATTTATTGATTGCGCCTCAAATAAAGCGCATATAACTATCATGTGACACTGATTGTGATAGGAACGCAAGATGTTACTTTGACATTCTAGTCATTGATTTTGATAATTTTTTTCGGCTTACCAACAATAGTCTGTCATTTCCTCCTTATCTTCTCCGAACATCAACAACAGCAGCACTTTTATTAGCGGCATTTGGTTACATTGGTCCATACCGGAAAAAGATTCTTTTTATCCAGAGGAAATGTTATTTTGTCTCCATCGATTCTATTTACTATCTGCTGTTATTCATTCTAGATTGCCGCTCTCAATAACCTCAGTACACAGTGATAGAGCCAATCGCAATGCATAGATTTTTTCAGCTAGGCAGGACACGAGCTAACTCACGGTCGGGGTCCTATTCCATTCGCGTTGTCGCGGTGAGCTTTCAGTGCTTCACCCCCTTTGTACCCCTATCTCTTTCCCCATTACATATCTGCGGTGACGTATACCACGCTCGAGTCGGGCTATCCCCTACGCATATCCCCTGCCAAACAGGCGAAAACCTATTCGGCGAAATGAAGCCCAATCAGTTTCAACCAGCCTCAATTGGCGGGATGCACCTCTATCACACATGGTGACTACGACTAGTGTTAGGCAAAGGGACAAGTTTGTTCCTCTCTCCCTCTCTACGTTCTGTTCCCCTGCATTCATCCCGTCCCTCCTACGGTTGGTTATCGCCGTGGTGGCAATTGCCGCAGAGGGGATGGCAGTGACTGTACATGAATGTTTGATAAACATCAAGCCAACGCCTACCCAGCCATAAATACGTATTTCTTCCGTTGATATTCCGCTATGAGTCGCCCGCCGTTGACAGCTGGTCAAACGCTCGTGCACACATGCGTCCACACGACCAGGCATATGTACAGAATGCATGGGAGCCCTAAACAGCTTTTTTTTTTTCAATTCAATTGGCATAATAAAGAAGCAGATGCAGGCAAAAAAGGTGGCCACGGTGCGGGCCGTATGGCAGCGTGTTGGTGGGCAAAGAGATACTCATAGACATAAAAAGATATTTCGACTCACGAGTTCTCTTTCTTTGATGTTTTCTACTGTGTCTGGCTTGCACCGTTGCCGGATGGTCATTGTTGCCAAGCGTCGGTAACGAAAGTCATGCAAGATTTAGGACCGAGAAACGCACAGAGGCCTAGGTGACCAGACTTCGTAACACGAGAGATCAGCCGATTGCGTTTTTCAAAGAATCATAACACGAACGGGGGTAGTGCTTGAGGAGAAGAAATCCCGACGGGAAAAGCGCAGATTCTTGAAGAAAGACACCTAGCGCTCGGTGCCGGGCAACGGCGCGGTAGTGAGTGTGCACACAATTATCCTAATTCTTTTTCTTTAGCGTCCGTCTTTTTAGGTTTTTGCTTTGAAAATAACTTATGTTATTCAATCAGTGTCGAGATCATTCACCGCACTCGTTTAGGTCAGCTAGCAGCAGTATCCCAATGACTACTCAATGAGTGTAATAGTCGTTCTCTTACTCGCCGACGGCGTTAGTCAAGATGAAAGGCCTGAAGATTGTCAAATATGCGTACAAGTATGCACATATATATATACGAAACTATTAACTTATTGCAATTATATCAATGTCGATGAGGTTTACGGGAAAAGTATGAAAGTGCAATTTTTTTATCCAGCTTAAGGCGCACCAACTGTGTAGTTGGAATAAACATTACTACTTTGTGTGTAAATAATGATCGAAACGTAAATAATTTATAAAAATATATTTCACTTAAGAATATGTTAAATAAAGAGGTATCATTTTTTATACGCATGTTTATTATTTTCTATTAAGTAAACGCAACCTTAAGAAAACCTGTACTACTAACCTGAATACACTCCGAGATAATTATGGTCGAACAACTCTCTAAAAATGCCAAAAAAGCCTGAGAACAGTCGAGAAATATGAATTTTACCGAAAAAGGCGCGCGAACATTTTCTGTTTAAAATTTTGCATATCGGATACTATAGCTCTGAGACCCTTCTTCAAGAAATGTAAATATTGTAGAATCTGTTAAAAGGAGTAAAATCAAGCAACCTCAATAAGAGCTGCTTTCGACAGATAATCTTCGTGCACTTTTCAGTAAAGCTCATTATTCTCGAAATATATAGAACACACCGAATAACTGATTACCTTATACATATATATATATACACACACACACACAAAATGCAAAAATGTGTGCCTATGCGCACGTAAATATCAGCTGCAGACGCTTTAAACGTGGCCAACTGCCCGTGGAAGCACGAAACGAAAAACTATAGTTAGATGGACAAGGGTACGACGTTATACCCCACACTTAAGCATCGTGTATATGAGTACCGTACTGCAGCCGCTTCCATCATTAACAGAGAAGCCGAGCAATACTCTTAGACAGGTCAACGTACAAAAGGATTTTTCAACAAGTAAGCCCATTTAGCCTTCTGTCTGCCCAATTGCTTGCGTACATCGACGCCTACTATATTGTTTATTACTATTATAATTCGTTGCCTCAAGAAAGTAAAGCTAAGCTACACAAGCAAGAGATACATACTCACAGACATTGAACAAGAGGTAATTTATATATGAGAAGCTATCGTCGCCAGTGTGACCACAAGATGGACTGGAAATTGCGTTAGTTCATTCTTTTTCACGTGATTCACTTGTACAGGCCAACGTAAGTGTTTGATAATTTGTGCCATCAGTATTAGAAGCTAGGCGTCACAGTAGATGTATTATCTCTCTTATGTATACCTCCTGAATGGAGGACACGTCTCATATGATTAATCATTACTATCATTATCAAAATGTACTACGTCGTAGATGAGTATGATGGTAATCACGTCGCAGCGGGAATCAATGGTACAAAGGCCACCTGATACGATGAGGGCCTATAAGCCTTTGATACGGTGGTAAGTAGAGACGGCCAACCCCTGCGAACGATTCTAACAAGAATTAACTGCGCTATATCTATTTCTCGGCCACGAGGCAAGCGTTCTACTCGCGCAACAAACAACTAACACGGTCATTCGTTATCTTTCGAGCTATACGGAGAACAGTGCCTCCGTGGATTTCATGTGTTTCAGCGCCATCACTGCCACGAGATTGATTTCACGAGCTTCAGTTGATGTAAATACTGCTGGGCAGATGCTCGGCTGCATTATGACGATGCCGTGCTCGGAGCAGACGCAAATGATCTCAGTAGTTCTGACGACGATACATTCCTTTGATTGTCAGTGAGGCCCCGTGCATGTCACACATACTGTATAAAGTGGTGACTGACTCATCAACTTTCCTTTTCCAGTTCCTCTCCCTGTTTGTCTCCTTGGCGCAAACCGCAGTGTTGAAGCGGACTCATACCCAGGCACAATGTCAGGAAAGCACCAATGAAATGACGAAGGCAACCAGCATCGATATCTCCACCAACGTCCGTTCACTATTCACCAACTCACGTGCATTCGCTTGCGGCCTCATCGAGTGACTGACTGACTGTGCACCCGTAGTGAAGGATTCCGGCTTACAGCAGTAGCGACATACGGCCTCGATGATGACAGTATTATACGAGGCACCAAGACGCCGACGCAATAGCCAGAGGAGCGACGCGGATGGGAGCGGAGACCCGACCAGCTGCTGAGAACGAGCAGTGAGTGGCTGGCTGGGTGGGCGAAGGAGTCAAGCCAGTCAACCAACGGACGGATGTGGGCTATCTACCACGCGCGACAGCGATGACAACAAACGACTCCGATGACTGCCACTGGGCCTATAACAACTGCTTCTACCACCGCACGAGTCGACCTCAAAGCAGAAGGGGGAAGAGCAGTAACCGGAAATGAAGATTCGAATTTGGTGGTGCCTTTCCTATCCCCCTCATTACATTTACTCGTTCAGTCGACTTTGTATTCTGACTTTTCCCAGCCGCGCAAACTGCTCTCATCCAGGATGCGGCTGGCGGGCCATGAACGTTACCAACTGCTACGAGAGCGTAGCACCAATAGTTCAGATACAGAATGACAGGATCGGCTCGGAGTTCAGTTTGACAACGTATCGCAAACGAAAAGTCGATTGTGGAGGAAACTTTTGAAATGCTGGTTGAATGAGTGAACTTAACGGGGGAGTAATGGGCACCGATGGCAGCGGCGCAAGTAGCAGGAGAAATGGTAACTGAGACGGAAGCAAGCGGGCGGGTAACTTGGATTTCTGGCTAAATTTTTCGCGAATATGTGGAGCGCGTTGGTAGCACGATACATATGGGCAGCGGATTATAGAGAACCGGGTTGCTCGCAAATGATAGTGTGTGCTCTAAGAAAATGGCCGAACGAACTAAAACTCGTCCTATATGGCGGTGACTTATCCAACGCGGTGAAAAGCGTGAAGTAAGCTAGTAAATCGTTTTGGAGCCATATCGGAATAATTACAATTAGAGCTAATATTAAGCTGGATAATAAGTTGCCACGTCTTTTTACTGAACTGAAAGTATTACTTCACAATCCGCCCATGACGATAGGTTATTATACTATGTATCCCCCGTCATTGTTCACAAATTTCTCCAACCTTTCGATCGAATAATAGATGACATTTTGCTACAAGGTAGCGGGTCTTGTCTTGGAAAAGTTTTCCAAGTACGTTTTGAGCTATTGATATGTGTCGAAGATAGGGCCACAACGGTAATTCCCCGTTGAAAGAAAAAGGTAAAAATCCATCCCGTAAAATCCGCAAAGTATAGAGGATGCAACGAAGCCTTATATCTGAAATCCAAAGAAGCAGATTTGTGGTATTATTTGATATTGCCTAGTTAACGGAATTGAGCCAAATAATCGACTGTCTCGTTCGGATGAAACAATTTCCAGTGAATTAGGCCTTTGCAATTCTAATAAATGCCAGACATAATTTTTTTAAAGAAGTTCTAGTTAGCTCCTGAGACCTCGGCTTTTTTTCTGATTTCCTGTTTTCCTGAGAAACGACTTAAATTTTTGGTTTACATCATTTCCCATTACCGGTGACAATTCAGAATAGGAATCGATCATTGTGGCTGCATAACGCCCGATATCGGACGAGATGTACTGATGTAACGTTGCACTGTAATTCTCTGTTGGATCGTCTGTAAGGTACCTACGCTTGGAGTTTTTGTGTGAACCTAAAAGACTTGAAGTAGTTAACAACAGCCTTGAGGCTTCAGCCCATCTCTTCGACTATTTCCGGGGCCGTTTCTCGGCCGTCATCCTTCAAAGGTGCTTTCAGAAACCTCAAGTCGATCATAAAAGAGCACATACTCTAGATTTTTGATGCTATTTTCGAACATAATAAACCATTCTTGAGCAGTCTTTCGGCTACGGTGCCGTAATTGTACGCAAATCAGTACGGCGAACTGCTTTAGCTTCGACAAAATGCATAGTACAAAAGGTGAATAAAAATGCACTTTGCTTCCAACAAAACACCCATCTTCGCGGCGTTTTTTCCAGTTCACTCTCGACGCGGTACCGTAACAGCACGCAATCTGTCAGAAGTAAACAACAAACGAGGAAGTGGGAAAGGCGAGTTGTTTAAAAAAGCGCGCAAACATTTTATCCAACCTAATAATAAAAACTAGCCCTCTATTGGTATAAAAAAAACGTGCGACAAACGTACAATCACAGAGCTGATTTCCGTATTTCTTGGGAGCTCGATGCGTTCGTTCCGATGGAATTACTAACTTTCATTCATAAATCTATTCATAAATCTTCCTGACAAGTCTTCATTCCGTCCCATTCTCAAAACGAGTATGAAGTCTAGCTCATTGCCAGTTACATAAAAAAGCACAATAGACAAGTTGTGCCTTCCAAAAAATCCATCAACGCACATCCTATCTTCTGATCTTTTTCTTTACGATGCTTTTTGCCCGTGGGCTAAGGCGCTTGCAAAATTGCGATTGGCTAGTTCCTCTGTCTCGCTCTCTCTCTCTCTCTCTCTCTCTCTCTCTCTCTCTCTCTCTCTCTCTCTCTGAAGCGAGACAGCAACCCTGAGTAGATGCAACTAATAGAAAGCTGTCGGGTGCTTTTCAGCGTGTGTGAAGTTCAGCGGCTTGTGGCTCTAGTCAAGCCTACCACGGAGGATTTTTGAGGATACTCATACAGACGAAACATGCTTACGTACAGCTGTACTAGTTCCATCCGAACTCGTTAATCTGGGTGTCGTCACGCACACGAGCGCGCACTTCGTTTTTCACTACAACCAGCGAGGCACGGCCATTGTAATCACCGCCATGGCCACTGTTTCCAATTTTGATCCAATGCCTTACTAGCTAGCTGGCTGCTTTTCTGTACATGTTTCATGTCGTCTCTTCTCCGGCCCCTCCCTTCACTCGCCCCTTCTAGTTCGTATGCCTCTACTCAGCTGCGCAGGACTAGTACATAAGTGTATTCTTTAATTGCTCCTCGTTACTGCCGTTCACACACTCTACAACCAATAGTTCACATTTGAATACGAGTTCTCGCGCGTCAAAAACCTGTCGTCTCTCGTCAGACTGCGACAGCCACCAAATCCGTGCAAGAGGTGACTGCCGCTGTTACTCCTGCCGAGACTGAAGGAGAAAAGGATCGTTCGTCTCGCGCCCGTCCTTCTTTCAGCCTAAACGACGCCGAGAGGACCGGGAAACAGCAGCAGAGGCAACGATGGAAATGGGCGGTGCCTACGCAGGCGACACGGCAGCGAAGTGCTGCTGCTTGTTCGTCGTTCGTTTGGCAGCTGCGTTCCTTTGGTTTCCTCCTGTAGCAATAGCAGTAGGGGGGCGACGGCAGGAACAGATGTCAGAGCAGTCAAGTCGTCAGTCTTGACTTGCTGGAACCAAAATTTGCACCACAGCCAGCGCAGATACAGCAAAAGGCGGCCCAGAGAGAAGCTACAGCAGCGTCTAACAACTGCTAGGAGGAGCTGACAGCAGCTGCCTGCACACTCAGCCACAGCAGCCTTATGCCCAGTCTAGTGGCCCCTTATGGCGCTTATGTTCTTATTCGGATTCGTCTTATTTTGACATCGCTTTCTTTCGTTTCTCATCTTGCCCAGCCGACATCGAGGAGAGCAGGGGAAGCAGTTGACTCAAATTTACGGAACTTGTTGGAACGCGCAGACGACAGATGCGGTAGCGGAGCTGGCGAAATCGGCGGCAAAAATGGTGACGACGACTAGACTTGAAATAGACGAGAGGGGGAAAAGAGTCAAAAGTCAGGAAAAGACGAAGAACAGCGAACACGGTGAAAGGTGACGAAACCGTCACTGAACGGAAAAAAGTTCTTCTAACTAAGCCATTCACGCTTTTAGCTCTGATGTTTCTCGCTGTATATAGCTTGTTCAGTTAAGACTAGTTCCTGTAAAATGCATTGTTTAATAATCAAAACTTAACTTGAAAGTTGGGCCTTAATTCACTGATAAAAAGGCTCTACGAAGCCAACGAAGAAAATGCGTATATTAAGGTTCCTTAAAGGCATTCACCATTCATTCTAGTAGCTGTATATTGTTAATATCGCATCGGTACGACCGTGGTAGTCTTCATTGTTTGAATAAACCATGCGAAGTTGCCGAGGTCCTCAGGTTCGACGTTTCAGAATACGATCTTTCCTTGTATCTATGTTACGGCGATAGCCAGTCGTTGGCCATTGGTGACCATACTTGAATGCACCTTCGAAATGACTCGGCTGAACGCGACTCATTTCAGCTAAACATGTTGGTGGAACCAGCAATAGTGGTGATTGTGGTACGCGCTTCCGTTGGCAGAAGACTGGACGATGATGGTCGATAAGCTAGCCATAGCGGTCAACCGTAGCTGCTTCATAATTCCGTAATATATGCACATAAACATAAACAATACGTAGCGATTTCATTAAGTAATGCAGTACCTTACAGGTATGCGCCGACGCGCATAGACACTTAGCCCCTATGTTCGATATTTACAGAACTAACTCGAAGCACCATCATTACAGTTGCCGTGTATTGCCTTGTACATACAGCAGCTGTATTTGCCACTTTAAGGAAACGTATCTACTTAGGTCCGTACCCTTGTCCTATTGACTTTGCCTGTTCAGCTTGTTGTAGTAGCTCTATCTGTGATTGTGACCGATGTGCCTGCGTATACACTTGTTTATTTAGTAATTCCAACTCGAGTAAATATAGATATAGTCAGCCAATCAGTCTCTCTCTCTCTGTTGTTTTTCTGTTATTCCTTTACATGTGTAATTTTCCTGTTTTCAAGCCCTCGGCTTGCGTGTCTTAGGGCATCCTGGCGTACCTGCACACGCATAAACAGTTTCAGACTAAATCAACTAAGACAGCCACCTACCTATACGATATGACAAGTGGCTCAAACACTCTCCAGACCGCTTGAGACTGGGTACACACTTTAAATTTCCCAACTTTTGCGGCTGGTAGGACGGACTAGGGTTTTGTCGGGCGCCGTCGAGCCGAACGCTATTTTCAGTCTGTGCCCTGCCCCAGTTCCATCCCGCTGCCAGTCGCTCAAGTCGAAGGAGAGAACGCAGCGATAGGAGCGGGAAAAACATTGCAGCAAAAGCAGTACTGCAGTTGCTGCGGTCCCATGGAGCGAAACCCCGTCCGCCACCGCCTAATCCATGTATGGTCGTAGCAGTATCGGGGACAATAGCGGCAGGAGCCGCGCTGGCGACGGTCCTTCTGGTATAATGTTTGATCAGAGAAAGTAGGTGAGCGAACCGATCAGTTGATGTGGATTGAAACGTTACTCAAGCCACTGCAGGGTGTCGTAGTGAGAACGCATACAAGCCAAGAAGGTAGAGACAGCGAGTCCCTTCACTATCCTATCTCTCCCTCTGTATACGCGGGTGACTCTACTATTTGCTGTAGTAGATAATGGTTCAACTACTAGAGAGCGTGTGGAACGACGGCTGGCGACGGCAAATGCAGGCGCAATACTTCATTTGCTTCATAGTCTAGGCTTCGATTGTGCTAATGTCAACCGCAGTTGTCATTGCCACTGTCAAAGCATTTCCATAATGACTAGGATTGTGAGATTACTCGTGATCATTATTCGGCCTTGGTAGGTGTGACAGTACCTTAATAAAACGCTCTCGTTGCTGGTGGTAATGGATTGTCCTTGATTCGCCTTTTTTAATAGGTACGTCATTAGCCATTTCTTAAGCTAACACGACACAGTCGTTTGGGGTAGATACAGTTACGATCTCGAGGACCCATTGGGTTTGTTGCATGCCCTATACGCAAACGGTTAGTATAGTGCCATTACATATTTCTTTCTTCAAAATGCTAATATATGTATTACTAAACGCCTGTTACGGTGCGAACGTAAACCTACGAGTATTTCTTAATTAAGCTACCTGATCATCATCAGAACTATAGGAACTATTCGTATGAGAATTTAACTATTACGGTGGGCCAGAATACGGAAGATTCTTCTAACTAATTGGCTTTTATGTCACATAAGTCAGGTAATATAAATCGTGTCGGTTTGTCGTTGATATTATTTAAAAGCTAAGGTTTTACAGCACGTGAGTGATTTTTACCAGAAAATCATTGTACCAGTAGAACGTTATAATAAGGACCCAATAATAAGGCTGCTCAGGCCCATGAAAAAACCTATGCTACTAATATTCAGGATGCATTATTCAAAGAAACGTCCCAAAGGTGGTTTTCGTTTGAGAACTTTCGATACGAAAAATGCTTCATGTAACCAATTACGAACAGAGTTGGTAGGGTTTTTACGGAAGTTCAGCAGTATCACCATGTAAGTAGGCACGACATTGTCGAGGAAGTGAAAACAGGAGGAAACAATTACAACAACTTGAAGAAGGCTAGAGACAAAAAAGGCTCAATGGTCCCATGAATTGATTCAGAAGAGTTTTCCTGAGTGTATTTCTATATGTAACGTCAAAAAACCAAATCATTTCCAATGTGATTGATTTCGGATGGTAAAAAGCGGTTCATATAATTCGAATTAACATGATGAGAATAAAAAGAAATTATGCACTCTAGGCTGCTGCCGCTTAGAAAACCTAATAACAATTTTATAATTATATATAACAACCTTGCAACAGTTAACAAGCTTGCAAATAAACCGTTGAAAAAATCCTCCGAAACCGATGAGCAAAAAAGACTTCGTCCTTCGTTTTCACGTTTTAGCTAACCGGTAGAAGTTGAGCAGACTTGGGTAATAAATTTTAATGTAGCCTCCGTATAGTTTGAAATTTGCGCCATCAGACTGCCATCCGTTTCGGTGCACGCAGAACTCCTTCAACCACGTTCATTTAGTTTTAATGGAGGAATACAAACATAATTTGTCAGAATTGTTTGCAGAGGCACCACAGAT